TTTCCCAGAACCAGGGATTGAACTCAGGCCCTTGCATTTGCCAGGCATAAGCTTATTCTACTGAGCTATTTCCCCAGCCCTTGCACTGATATTTTTGTTGCATCAGATTTATTTTAAATAAAAGGACTACTGGCCAAGGCTTAGAGATTTTTGGGGTATGGAATAATCTTACTCTGTGACATTTGTGCTATCTTAGCAGTTATGAAAAGCTCATGTGTTCCCCAGTTTAATTTTTACATATCAGGCTGGGTTGAGATGTGATAACATTTATAGGTTAATTATAAAATTATTTTTTGATTGACTATAACTTTTTATTTTAGTGTCACATCTGCATTTCAAAATGCTAATGTTAGACCCATTGTAGTCTGGCTGTGATCTGATCTAGTGCACAGCCTCCTCTGTGGGCTGCATCCAAGGAAATTTATTGAAGACCAGAAAAGGTCTTAGTTGAAAGACCAGTAAACCTAAGTACTCACCATACCTAGCCCAAACAATGTATGAGCAATACACAAATACTGGATAACATTTTCTCCCCCCTACCACTGCTCTTTTGCAGGTGTGGTCGTCTTGTAAAACATCTTTATCTACCTTACTCCTTCCTGAGTTTCCCATATGTAGAAGAAGCTATTAAGACTGCTTACTGTGAAGAAAAATGTGGAAATTGCTCTTTCAAGGTACCCTCTTTCTTTCAATTATTTTTACTGGAGGAAAAGAAATCTTTAGGGAACTATTTAAAAAGTTAGTATCTCACAATCAGTCATACTATAATTAAACAACGTTTATAATTATAGACATTTTCTGTTATATAATGTGTACTTTAAAAATTTTAAAGATGCACATTTCTGCCTTTATCTAGAAAAGTTTTAGAAAATAAAATCAATCTAGATCATCACTAAATGATGTTGTATGAGATGCTCAGAGAATTTAGCCAGGGAGTTAGCTCAGTGGCTTAAATACTTGTCTGGCATGCACAAGGTCCTGAGTTTAATCTCTGGTACAAAGGAAAAAAAATTAGTTAATAAAATGCTATTATTGTAGCAATCTGAACATGCTCGCACAAAAGCATAGAAATAGCGAAGCTTACCCAAGGCACAACTTGTCAAAAATTAAAGCCAGATAACTTAATTTACTAAGGTTACATGTCCAGCTTTTTTTGTGAAGTCCTCATACTACGTCCCCATTTTTCAAATGAATTATTACATTTACTTGAAAACGGTTTTCTACTATTGATATTCCCTAATAAGCATGAAATACTTATTCTTTGTTGTGAGAAGCATTATATTCAAATGTTTAAATTAGAGACAAACAACTGATTTTAATTTCTACAACTGGATCTTTTTCCTTGTATTAAGAAGAAAATAAGGCTGGGGAGATAGCTCAGTAGAATAAGCACTTGCCTGGCAAGAGCAAGATCCTAAATTCAATCCCTGGTACCACCCTGCCCAAAAAAATTCTAAGCCATATTTCCTTAATAAGGTGACTGGAAAAACTTGAATTCAGGTTTAAAAACAGTATTTATTTTGGAGACAGGGTCTTGCTATACAGTTGAAGTTGGCCTTGAGCTCACTTTGTAGCCCAGGCTGGCCTAGAACTCCCCATGCTTCTCCAGCCTCAGCCTCCCAAGTGCTGGGATTAGAGGCATGTACCACCATGCCTGGCTCTGTATTTTATTTATTTATGTATTTTTTCATTTTAAGTATTTGGTACAGGGTCTCACTGCACAGCTGACTCTAGTGATCCTCCTGTTTTCAGCCTTCCCCCTGCTGGGATTATAGGCATGGCACCACACCTGGACTTGGTTGCTGGCTCAGTGTGCCCTGGGGGTAGGGCCAGCGTGGTATGCAGGACTGGGGATCAAACCCTGGTCCCTGTGCTTGCCTAAGCAGGCACTTAGTCCACTGAGCTATTTCACCAGCCCCTGTATTTTTTTTTTTTTTTGAGCAGTACTTTTAGATATTTCCTAGCTCTAAAGAAAGCCACCTCAAATTTTAACAAATCATTTATTTATTTAATTGGTAGTGAGTGCAATAGGTTAATTATGCCATTTTTTTTCACATTTTGTTCTTTATAATACCATGAGAATTACTTTTTGGTGTTAAATTTGAGGAGATGAGGTAATACAAATAAAGTATAGGGTGTCTAGCTGTATCAGTTACTTAAATTCCAGAGTATTTTTATGCTGCATAATTTATAAACTACCTATAAATAATAATATATGCATCTCACATGTCAAAACAAATTGATTTTTCAATTCCACTGTTTTCTAGATGTCATCAGTTATATAACACTTTATTTAACAAATTAAAAAATTCTGGTTGGTATAGTTAATACACGATGCTAAAATGTCATCAATAGAAGGATATACTGTAACATTAGAAATGGCACCACAGAACACAGTCAGGTATACTCTAGTGTTAGAAATAGTGTAGTGGAATCTCATCAGATGCTTCCTAATGGTGGAAATAGTATCTCAGAAGAGTCATAGAATCAATGAAATATAGTTAACAGGCTTTGTGCAGTGAATTAGGATGCTATGTTTAATAATGGAATACTTCATTGATTGATTGCAATAAAGGGAATTTGAAAATTGAACTCAGGGCTTTGAGCATGCTAGGGAAGCGCTCTACCAGTGAGATACTTGTGTAGCTATAATTTATTTTGAGACAAGGTCTCCCTAAATGACTCAGGCAGGCTTCGATCTTATGATTCTTCTGGCTCATCTGGCATTACAGACGTGTGCCACCAAGCCTGGCTTTGAACATTTATTTTTCATAATCTTATAATTAAATACTAAGTTCTCATAGAAGTAATTCATAAATACAAAACTGTACACTCAGAGGCTATATGCCAAATATCCAGTGGAATTTAAAACTGTTCAAAACCTTGAAAATATTAGGCCATACTACTTGTCTTTCATTTCTCAAGATGATTTTGTAATTTTATTACAAACTAACTGTAGGCTGAGGTTTAATATTATGCTTATGCCTTGAGAATCTGTTTGTGGGTGCCACAAAATAATGAAGACTTTCAGTTAATTAAATAACTAGTGACATGGAGAACCAAAGATTGTGGTTAGTGAGAAAGGGGCAGTAATTTCCTACTTTTACCTGATAGAAATACAATAGATATACTAGCAAAGCATTACTTGAGCTCAGAACATTTCCTGGCATATGTCAAAACATAGAACACAACTATTTAAACAATTTTGTTGGCTTTCTTGAGTTAACAGAGAGAAGCCAGTTTGCTCTGTGACACTCTCCTAGAGTACATACACTGTGGAAACAGGTGTGAAAGATTGCATGTTGGTCAAGTGATTTTAGGCTTTGTTATTAGCTGGACTTCACTTTTTAAATCAGGTTTCTTAGTTTTGTTTCTGAAGATAAATGTAGTTTGGCTTTCTTTTTAAGCCTTTAGTAAAAATCCTAGGTGTTCAGACTAACATCAGGCTTTTTTCATTAATATGTTAGAAGGACAAAGCCAGGTCTACCCTAAATTACTAGCTGGAAGTCCACACTGTTAGCTCTAAAATTAGTTTTCATGCCACACATATAAGCTTATTGTTAAGCATTTTATAAATTTGTTCCAGACTCTTGAAGATGAAGATTTCTGTAAAAATGTATCTTTGGCTGCTGTGGTAAAAACACCCGAGGCGCCATGGCCACCACAAGATCAGAGCAAGCCTCAGAAGCAGGAGAATCACCATCTTGCGGGCAGTGAGCTCTCTGAGAATAATCAACCAGGGGCACCAGATCCAGTTCCTTCCTCTTTACAAGGCCGTGGTCACTCTAGGGGCCAACCAGAGCGGGATAGCTTAGGGAGTTTACATATGCTAGCAGGTGAAGATGTACTGCGTACACTAGGAAGAGTCTGTCGAAAGGGGTGCAAAAGCCAGCTACAGTGTAAGTCAACCAAAGATTCACAGTTGGCCCCTAGTAGCTGTTGTTGCCATTGTCGACACCTGATATTTGAAAAAGCAGAGTCTTCGGTCACCTGCCAGTGTGCAGAAAGTCTCCCATCTTTATGCAGCTGTCAGGGGCTTTTGGGAGAGGAGAAAGTCATCGAATCTTGTCAGTGTCGAGGGCTTCCAGTAGCCTGTCAAATAGTACAGCAGCAGCATTCCACAGAACCCAACCATGACTGACGCTGAGAAAATGTAGCGCAAAACTGAAAATGACGTTCAAACTAAATATTTTAAGATAAGATAGACTCCCCAAAATTGAATTGGCAGACACAATTTCATTTCCAAAATTTTTATAAATGATCTAATTAGTAAATTAAAAATAGGAATTGGATTGAGTAAAAATAGAGAAATCTTTCTAAATTGGCTTCTAAATTTTGTCATAAAATTTTTGACCAAAACCACTTTTTTATTACTGGGCAACTGCAAAGTGAATGCACCTTTGGGTTAATATGTCTTTCTTGTTCTTTTTCCAGTATTCTATTTACATTAATGAGAACTGAAACATAAACTATGACCTAGGGGTTTCTGTTGGATATTTAGCAACTTAGAATGGAGGAAGAACAATAAAGACATATTTGCCATTTTTCTTTATTCATCTCAAAGCCATATTATCTGTATCATTTTAATCTTACATTTTAAACTGATTAAAAAGTGAATTTTCTTTCTTAACACATGAATATTTTGCTAAAAAGCATATTTTAACTGTCCTTTAATACTGTGTTTTTTCTATACTTAAGACTTATATCTTCATTTATACACAAAGGAAGTCTTTGTATCTTATTTTCTTTATTGATCACTTTGTCATACTTTTGAATTTTGAATGGCTATAAGGGAAAGGAAAGAAATGTCTCTCTTTAGACTGCTTAGAAAGTATTTCCATAGTCAATGATGGTTTAATAGGTAAAGTAAACCCTATTAACTTGAACTCCTTACGGATAATACCAGTAAGCAAGAATGTATAGTACAGGATGGGCCAATGGATACATCTGGATCTGTATAAAAAAAATTCAATAAAAATTTTTAAAGCTGTCTCTTTTTTATTATTTAGACGTATGTTGAAAATGTAAGTGAAATTTTCAGTTGCTCTTAAAAAAGTAAACAGTAATTAATGAATTTACTGTTATACTCAAAATCGTCTACGCTTAAGATGAGAGTCTTTGCTGATAGAAAGGCGCTGCTCCAAATCCTGAATGGTATTACGAAGAATTGCAATTTCCTTGTTTTTTTCTTCTTGAAGATGTTGAAGCTTCTAAATGTAACAGAAAAAATTTCTTATTGCAGATCATAAATAATAAGACTAAGTACAAGGAACAAGAATTAAAAATCACACATTGGGTTCAAGCATGTATTTGAAAATATACTTTGTTTTTATTTTTTGAGACAAGGTTTTATTATGTCATTCAGGCTGGGCTTGAACTCAAAATGATCCACTTTTAGTGGCTTCCTAAGTGCTGTAATTATAAGCACATGCTACCAGCTGCCATAGCAGGCTAGGATACTTTATTTTGAAAGATCTATAATTTTAGTTTTGTGGGACTTAATGGACACAGAAACAAAACCTAGACATAGTATTTTCTTTTTCTTTTTCTGTATTTAGGATAGAGTCTGCAGGGTCTCATTATGTAGATTGGACTTGTAGTGATTCTGTTTTCAGCTACCCAAGTGCTGGGATTATAGGTGTGTGCCACCACACCCATCTCAATCACTGGCTCAGTGTGCCCCAGGGGCGGGGCTGGCACAGCAGGCCTGGGATCTGCTGTGCTCTGCCTAAGCAGATGCTTTAGTAGACATACTATTAATCAACATAAAAATTTCTATAGAAACACAGTATGAAAACATTTTCTTAAATAATAATTATAGAATTAAAAGTCACATACCCTTCTGTAGATACTTTGTGGGGAAATAGTAGAATCTGGATAGGATTTTGATTTAGTCTGAACTCTTGCTAGTTTAGCATCAAACTGAATCAAATTTAAAAGGAGAGTTAGAACATTCTAATTCAACAACTAGAAATACTTCTATAAATGTGAGTATACTCCATGGTATCCTTTGACATATACTCTATAAGTGCATTTGTTATACAAAGGGCAATAAATCATTAAACAATTTTCAAGAAAGAACAAAAAAAAATCCAAATAATATTAAACCTAATTGCATGCTGCAGTTACCTGGAGAAATTTTAAACAGCCTTAAACACTTGGGCACCTTAGAGATATTGGGGGATGGCTAATGTCTTTTTCTCAAAATAAGTGATTCTACCATGTGGCCAGGGTTGAGGATCTAGTTTACATAAAAATATTTTCACATTATTCTAAGTGTACTTTTCTCAAGAAAATTAGAATATAATCAACCATCATAAGAAAAAAACCCTCACATACCCTTCTGTAGAAACTTTTAAGTCTAAATAATAACATTTGGTATAATTTATTGATTACATTTTAATTTTTCCTAGTTTGAATTAAGCTGAATTTAAAAAAGTCCAAAACCTATTTTTACAAGCAAATTATTTTTATACAATATATTAATAAAATAATAAAATCCATGTCTTCAGGTTTAGTTTAGCACAGTCTGTCTCAGGTTAAGAATAACCTCTACAGGAGATTGTGTTCTAGTTTGACAAGAGAAATGGCTGGTTGTAATAAAGATAAACAACGAAGAGTTCTATATACCAAATAACAGACTTGGTTTACACCAGTGACAAGGCCAGATAACAAACAAAATGCAAGTTTCCAATCAGAAGAACTTGGTAGTAGATGTTGAAACCTGGTCTATTGTTCTTCATCTGGTCATCTAGCCTTCTCTTTAGTTTGTGGGTAGACTTGGCCAGAAGGAGCAGAAGCAGCAGAAATTCTAAAGTCAACATAACTCCCGTTATGATTACAGTGATTCCACATGATACCTCATGAGGCACTCCAGGAATGCCAAAGTCTCTGGCAAATAGTTATCCTACATAAGACTTGGGAATTTTATAAGACAAGGTAAAGTGAGAGTCAGAGTGGAAGGAAGCCATAAAAGAAAAACGGAAAGAGAATTTGGTAAAATATGAGTAAAAAAAATTACAGAGCAATCATTTTACAAAAATATCAGTATTTTTGAAATTCTGACATCTATTTTATTTTCATTTTTAGTGAAGGTTTCACTTTTATTAAAAGAATTTTATAAAAATATAAAAAAGAATTAAATAAGTTGTTCACATCTAAATAAAAGAATGATACGTTTTTCACTTTTAAGATGCCCACAGTATATTACTGAATGGAAAAACAGGTTACAAGATCAGTAATATTTCATTTTTGAAAAGTTATCCATGTGTACGAGTATTTATAAGCAGTGATGTTAGATAGGTATCAAAATCTTAGTGATGCTTATTATTCAGTGTGACGTTGTATGTAATTTTTTTCTTATTTAGAACAAATAGCTGGAGGCTTAGCCTAGGAGATCCTCCATTGAAAGTTTCTTTAATTTCTCTTTTATTATTTTAGAAATTTTGTTTGTTTGCCCCACAATACATATTTTCCAGAAATTTATTGGGGAGAAATTTGTCTCATCTTATTCCAAATAAAAGACATGATTAGCTGGTTTATGAGGGTTCCCCAATTTCTGCTGAGGAGAGAGTAATGCTGAAGATTAAAACTCTCCGACACTGGTTGTCTTATGAAGCTTGCATAGAGTTGACAAACAATGCATATAATTCCTGAAGTGTCTGTTCCTATTCTTACAGGAAATAGTACCCTTCCCGGAAACCAGGACCTGTAGAACAGCTAAAGTCCTTCTCAGTGAGGTGCTAAAAGGCAGTGTCCTTGATAGGTGTCTGGTGACTGAGCGTTGCCTTTGACAGAGAATCGGAGTGTACCCTTTCCACAAAATTGTTTCTAGCCTTAAAATTTGTGTCATTGTGATGAAAACCAAAGTCTGGCTTACATAAGGAATGTACAGCATCAAGTTTATCAGACTTAGACACCTACCTCCAGCTGTAGTTTGACTATCTCATTTTGCTTTTCCTTTTCTTGAGCTACTAACTTTGCATTTAACTCTGAAATTTCCATCTCTTTTTTCTTTATTAGATCTTTGTGCTTTTCTTCACTTAATTCAACTAAATAAAACAAAAGAAGCTTATTCATTTAACATTTCAAAATATACTTCAATACTATGAATGATTCAAAAGAAGGTAAATTTTATTAATAAAATTTTTTATAAGCTGTTTTATGTTTTATGTGTGTGACAGACTTTATACATTTTTGGCAAGATCTTGAAAAGTGTTTGAAACACAAAAGTCACTCATAAAATGTTTCTGGATAAAGAAACTAACCTGTACTCTTAAGCATGGACAACTTAGAAAATATGAGATTCAGTCATTAAAGTGTGACCGAAAGCTTGGATTCTGAGGTTTGTAGAACTCCACTAATTTACAACTCCAGAACTCTGCTGTACTCTGTCATGTGATCGGGCCTCTCTCCTATTCACATTTTGGCTGCAAGCATCACTGAATTTTCTCTCTCTTGTTAATAAATATGCTCCTTTGCAATTCATCTTTTCACATATGAGAAAACATTGATCTAAATTTCTACTTTTTAAAAATAATGTATATAAACAGAATATCAACCATATGTAGCCGTTTGAGTCCAATTTCTTTCATTTACCATTGTTATACTTTCCACCTTTGGTCCTGGGATTGAAGCCAGGGCCATGATGCTCATGCTAGTTTAGACATACCCAGCCCTTTATTATTTTTGCAATTGTTTCACTACGTTGTCAGACTGGCCTCCAGCTTGCAGTCTTCCTGCCACAGCCTCCCTAACCATGTTGTGTTTTAAGGAGTTAATTTAGGAGCAAGCAGTCACATCTTGAAGAGGAGCAGAGAAAGGGAGGACAGGTGAAGTAAGGCTTGCTTCTTTTATAGCAGTCCTTTCAAGATAACATAAGGGACTGTACAAGAACTACCAAGTAGTCATACAAACCCAGAAACTCAGTGACAAGGACCTCCCACTAGGCCCCACCTCCCAACAATTTGACCCTAATTATTTAATCATAATGAAGTTTTTTGGGGACACAAAACTATATTCAAGCCTTTGCGGTGTTCCAATCAAGAAGTCACCACACTGGTTAGTTCCCAGCCCCAAACCAATGTTTTGGATCTAGAATTGACTGGCTGAACACATGGTTAGATCACTAGGATAAACAAAACCCTTTAAAATCTCTCTTCTAAGAGTACCCTGAGGAAGAACGGTCCACAGGAACCATAAAAGAGCAGACAGCTTTGGCTTTTACGTCTACAATGTCAGTCAGCAAAATTGGCTTTTCATGACCAGGCTGATGTTGACATCATTCTTCCCAAAAGCTTTTCCCAGCCAGTGAGTGGGCTTGGTAGACACAGTAAGGCAAGCTGGTTCTTGGAAGTTGCAGAAGTCTTTGCAAGCAAGTTTGGTTCAACTTTACTGAAACTTTCTTAGGAATGTGTCAGGGTCAAAGATTTTTTACTCAAAATCCCTTCTTTCCTGTTCTCCACATGGCCTGTATCAGAGACTGACAGTTCACTCACTCCTCCAATTCCCTATCAGCCCTCAAAATGCTTTCCCCAGCAAATCCCTTGAAGTGTGATCATCAGTGCTGCTCTGTGGACTTCAGGAGGCAGAGATGTTGAGCAGATTAGGAAAGCATGCTCTTGGCTGTCTCAGGGTGGGTCACAGAGGTGTGGCCTTGGGTGCTGTAGAGAGCCCCTGCCCTTCCTCACTGGTGCTGTCCCCTGGCTTTGCTCTCTGGCCACCAAGAACCAAGCAGCTCTGCTCTGTCACACCTTTCTGCCATGAAGTTTCTGTCTTGAAGACTGCTGACCATTATAGACTCTCCTGAAACCATGAGCTATATTAGAGATAAATTAAACTTTTCCTCCTTTAGGTTCTGGTTGCTGGATATTATGTCTCAGTAACAAGAGAACTGATCAACACAAATGTTTAGCCAAGTCTTAGCATCTGCTTCTCAG